GATAGATAGATAGATAGATAGATAGATAGATAGATAGATAGATAGATAGATAGATAACTCCTCTGAGGCAAAATAAATCTGTAAATAAAGTATTAGTAATAAATACTACTAATAATAAATAAACAACTTGTTATATAGTAATAACATGTATGTATTCACCAATGGATCAAATAATGTTCAGTTTGTTTTTGCACAGGAGTAACGGAGGCAAATTTGACAATGATATTTATCTTGCTGGGTAGTGCAAATACATAACTCAATGAATAAACATACAATTTGAGAGAAGCGTGTTGCTTCACTTATCAACTCTATTTCTAGGGTAAATGAATGCAGCCTCGCGCAGCAGGTAAGTTATGCAAGTGTGGAGTTGGGGGCCTTTGGCTAGGGGCCAGTGCCCTCATGCTGCTCTACTTTTTTTTTAAAAATATTCTCCCAAATAAACTGCGAAGCCAAGACAAGAGCCAGTGATGCAGTCTATGCATAGTGTCTTCAAAAGCAGCCGCAATTAGCTTTAGACAATAAGCACAATGCCAGCCAACACTGGTCTCGGCACATTCAAAACCCTTCAGGTAAACACCACAATAGCCTAAGAAGCAGAAATTAGAAATTGTTTTGTACTGCAACACAGTTGCTATAGAGACTGTTGCTAATTAACTGCACTCTACCCCAGGATAACAAAGGGCTTAAGGGCACTCAGGGCAGCTCCTCTTGTGATGAGCTCTGTGTATGGAACACTATGCCATCCCCAGAGGCTCTCAACCACAAAATACCTGTCTTCTTGTTGCCAGCATTCACCTTAGATGCCATGAGATGTTTTCTTTGGGGTCTGAACGTGTATGTCAAAGCACAAAGATGCAGTTTCAAAATCAATGAGCTACACTGAAGAAACAATTCACTGAGAACTTAATTCTGATGGCATTTCAATGAGAGCACTCCAAACAAAGTGAAATTGTCTTGTCATTGCATTTATGGGTATTTAAATGTCCCATATGTTCCCAATCGAATTATCTAAATAGTAAAAACGGAACTTGAATTTTTTTTTCATGCAAAAGTAAGCTTTTATTTTTTCAAAATGTTCACAATAAACATGATTGGTAGGTTTTGTTGTCTATACTAAGATACAATCTGAAAAGTACTATGATGTGGCTATTAAAAACAACAAAAATGTGTTTTAGAAAGAATATTATAAGTATGTGGAACTGTTGATTTCCTTTTAGGACCAGTAATGCTAGCAGACCACAGACTGACAGGACCTTCAGTCTGAACAATGTAATGTCTTTATGCAAATAACTGTTTAATTCAGAAGTGATGCAATGTAAGGATTTACAAAAAACATATTCCCATACCTTATTTTCTTTTGCTGACAGATAGCTGCTTTGCTTCAGGCCTCGCTCTGACCAGCCTTTAGCTCATCTTCCCTGATTTTTCAACCTGCTAACATTATAAGTGATATTTTCAGGAGGTGCATATTGTTGGCTGATAATACCTCTATTTCAAAAATACTATAAAAAAAACTCAGTTCATTAAGTTCATTTTGTTTTAAAGATAGATAAATGCTAATGATAAATTTGAGGGATTGTCACATTTTACACTAAACTGCAACACCTGCAGATGTGAACAAGCAATATCCATTCGTTTGTTATTTGACCTTTTTTTTTTTACCACCAAACACAGTATTTATGAAATTATTCTTCTAGTGTTTTTTTATAGCAAGAAAAATGGGACACTGTTTCTTCTACTGGCTAGACGTTTGTAACCAGATCCAGAGCACATCTGGTTGAATAAACCTCTGCACAACCATGCAGCCGTCTCCTTAGCACGCACCACAAAAAAAGTCCATTTTTTGATGGTGTTTTTCAAGCTACAGTGTTTCCAGAGACGAAATTTTAAATCCTTTAAATGGAAAAAACATCTGTTGTGACTAAAATTTCCTCACTGTATTTCGATTAGTAACGTAAGTTGACAAATGGCAGTAAATTTACACAATTTAATGTCAAAACAGGCATAAAGAATGTTAAGATTTTTTTATAAGATTTTCCTAAAGGATGAACATTCACATTTTTATTATTACACCTATAGAGTAAGAATTTGTCATTTTTATTTGTAACTTTGGAAAAAAAAAAGACATACATATGCTTTAGTTCCCAGCACCAATTTCCTGAGCAGCCTGACTCAGTGTGGGCTGGAGAAATTGGAGGGTGGTGATGTCTGAGTCCACATCTTTGCAGTGGCCACTGAGGGGTTTCAATGCAACTCCTGAAATTTACATTTTGTTTGGCTGGAGGGTGACATGACAGCTGCAGGCTAATGCTCTGCGGGACTTTCTGCTTTCACTTTAGACTGACAGCTTGTGAGACAGTCCAACACCACAGAAAGAAAACATTCCCTCTTTCCATGACATCACCCAGCCAGGAATGGGGGGGGAAGTGAAGGAAGGAACAGGGGTACAGCTGGTGGCAGCCACTGTACCATCTGCTACTAACTATTAATTCATGTTGCTTTACTTAGAAACTTGCACTTCTATGAACCGTAACATTGTAACATATTTACAGAAGTCATATTTTCGTTTCAGTCATTGAATTGATTTTATGCAGCATAAAACACTTTCTATTTAAAAATGTGTAATATTTTAGTGAAAACCCCATCTTAGTATGAGACTGTGGTCAGCAGGAAAGAAGAAAAAGGTGCTGATATTGGCACTCAGCTTACAAAAAACAAAACCCTTCTCCTACACGGCTAAATAAAAATAAACTGATGATCCTAAAAGACTGGAAGAAAAGCTTTTTAGGAGCTTACACTCAAAAATACTTGACTCACCATACATCTTTCCCTCATCTGACAGGATGATCTTCCGTCGGCCACACGGAGGATAGATGGCCAGGGCTTCTTGGAAGCTCTGTTCTATGTCAGGACTCCAGACCCCTTCGGCATCATTGTCCACAGGCTTGTCTGCCGAGTCGCTCATCCTCTCCATGTCCTCGGCAGGGCTCTCGCTGCCGCTCCAGCTGCTGGGATCGATCTTGGCGGTTGGTTTCTCCAAGCCGAAGCCTGGACCGGACTAGGGAGAGACCTGGAATTCCCACACAAGCAAACAGAACCCAATCGTCACTACAACAACAGAGCGAATGGGAMCCACTTCCAGGACTAAAAGCCATCACACACAGTTGGTTGAGAGGATGGTACAAAGCAGGAGTAGCCAAACAAGGTTAGACATCGCCAAGAACGTTGGTAACTTGATTAGCAGTGGATAGTTTGATTTTTGGATTTAAAAAAAGCACGACATTCTATTCAAAAAGAAAACAGACTTGGAAATCAATGCAACTGCCTGTTGCATTTACAGGTCACTCTTGTCAARGAGACTACTTGTATCAATGAAATTACCTGTGTAAAATAAACGTAACTTATAGTGAAATAAATTTAAAATCACAAGTCATACAGCACAAAATCATGCTATATAGAAACAACATCAAAACAACTTAAACCGTACCAAAAAAATACATTTTAGCTGTTGGTGAATACACCAATGATTTTTTTTATTGCTGTGAGTTCGACCTGCTGTTGCCACAGCCCTAATTCAGTGTGCACAATATCTTAAAGATTCTACAAAGTATATGCAAAAAATCTGGAAATCAAATGGCCCAATGCTCCTCTAAATGCCCACAGCCCACAGCAATGAAGAGGGTTGTAAACATTATAATGACACAACATGTGAGTTTCTTGTAACTGCAAAATTCCACACTAATATCGCAGCCGCATGCATTTCAGAATTTAAAATTGTACAGTCCTATTATGAATTGCCACACATAAATAACTAATTATCTGTTTTTGTCCTTACATTTTATGTCTAACACATAAAATAGTGTTATTTAAGAAATGGAAATTGTTCTGTGCAAACAGGTGTGAGACGCTGAAGTCTGATCCATTTAATTCTCTGTGTTAAGTTAAAAACCCATTAAACCAGCAGGTGAACAGAGGAAACATGCAAGCACTTTCTGTTGTAAACCTTCAGTCAATGCAGACATAGAAGCTATAAATCAATGCTCTCCGAAGGAAAACTGTTCAAAGATTCGGAAGATGCGAGAGTTCTCCCCTCAATTCCTTTAACACCACATGGGTCAACAAAGGAGGTCTATCGAGGAAGTGTTTCTTCTTCTTGAAAGGGTAAAAACTGCAAACAATTAGTAGTAGTTTGTAGGGAAAAGCTTGTTATTTATGAAGCCTCAGATTAAACTGGAATAATTATGGATAAATGATATAAATTATTGCTGCTCAATGTATATAAAAAAAGGCACAGAGGCACAGCGCTTAATCACAAACATAAAAGAATGCCAGCTTCTGAAAAGGATGTCCGCTGAGCAATTTTCTACACATACTCTAAGTAACAAGTGGTTATGGATCAATAAGCTAGTACAGTTCTAATTTGACCAAACAGTCCAGAGGTATTATAGGTGGCATTATTCACACTTGTTTCAGCTGCAGTTTTGCAGATCAATGCATTCGTCTTTACCATATTTGTTTCCAATTGAGTCACGCTGTGCAAACCGAAATGTTATTTAGCCTTTTTATTTACTTTTCCACCTGAACATGCCAAGAAGATGATTGCAAGTTGGCCTGTGAGCTCATTCAGTCATCTGAATGTGCAATATCGAAGCTGAACAAATAAAGTATCAACATTTTGAAAGAACATACAGTATAAATAACGGTATTACCAGAAATCTGGTGTAAAAGTTACAGACACTGTTTTGGTTGCATGCAGCTAATGTTTTACTTTCCAAAGCTTAAAACCAATCATTGAAACAGACCACACTTTCAGTATAAAAAAAAATCATTATGTATGTTAAGTGTTAAAGTATTACCATCCTAACACTTAATACTGAATTTAAAATACTCCCATGCTTTACCTCATTTGCTAACACTTCTGAGATCTCTTTTCGTTCTTAATATCCTCTCTCTTCTCAGACAACTGCTTCCTCCCTGAGCCAGATCCTATTCAAGCAGGACAAGCTGTCAGGAAACAGGAATGGTACCATATGTTTCTTCAAACATGTCAGTTGATCAGGGGGGAAAGGGGGGATGGGAACAAGCTGCTGGAAAAAAAAACTCCCAGAGAGCAGAGGGAGCTTTTACTGAATTCTGTTTTTGTGTTCTGTCTGCTGACGCTGCAGAACCAACAAACTGATGAGGGAGGGGAAACATTCTCATTTCAGCCACTCAAAGGCAGCAACTTTTTTCTAGATTTTATTCCAAAGCACTCGTGAAGTGTGTATATGGTAATTCCCAATGTTCATTTTCAGAGTAAAGTCCAAACTGACAAAAAAGTATGTATTTTTAGGGGCGCACAGATTGCATTTTTTCTGGCCGGTCTCCGATCTTTAAAAAGCCTGACCTGTTGATTCTGATTTTGGCCGATACCAATTTTTTTAACTGACACTGTCAGGTGTTATAAAAGGTCACAATACACCTTCAGTGTTCCAGTCTTATTTTTAATGAAGAACAATGAATGACACCCCTAAAACAATACAAACTTGTTTTAACTAGATAACAGCCCTCTCTCACAGCAGATACAAAGGGGACAGGGGAGGATTTTTAGACCTTTGCACAGAAAGATAAGATCGGTGGAAAGGATCAGATTTTCATGTAAGTATCAGTCGATTGCCGATCACCCAAAATTAAGAAAATCTGGGCCAATTTATTGGTGCACCCTATTTAAATCAATACACTGAACCAATGTTTACATTTCCGAGCTTGATTAAACCTTTATTCCCAACTACGGTTGTGCAATATTGGCAAAAAAATTAATCACGATTAATTGTGATATTTAGGCGATAACAATTGATTTGATGATTAATCCCCTGGAGTCCCTGGACACCCTTATTTCATAGTCACATGACCAATTTAGTGGGAAAGATTAGTAAAAATCTGTTCCAAATTGTGTCAAAATTACCGACTTCAGGCTATACATCAAATTTTGAATTATGTTGACAGATAAATAAATTACACAACTTTTTTTTWAATTTTCATCATATTTGAAGTGGAAAGGAGCACCGAGCGGACTGAAATCTCCAGTCCATCTGCCTGGTGGCATAAATCGTATTAATCTTCAAGTGCCAAAAAAATAATCGATTAACGTTTTTCTGACAATTAATCGCACACAATACAAATATGCCCAACCATATTTCCCAACTTTGTAAAATTATAAACTCACCAACATTTTTTTATTAAAGAAAATCCACTACCAGGCCAAAACAGAAACACACAACCAAGCAATTTCACACTGATTCTTGTAAAAAAATATATAGCCAACTGTCCATCTAAATTGGGTGCTTTTGGTCTGAGAGCGGAAAAGGAAACAAAAACAGAAAGAAAGCATTAAATAACTGACGTGTTTGGTTACACTGCCTAAAGCATTCGTCTCCAAAAATTCAGAAGAGTCAACCTGTGTTGAAAAGCAACACGTATCCCTGACCCAACAGATCAGAAGAGCGGTTTTAAAACGAGGGTGACCATCGCAATATTAGGAAGTTGACCTAAACGTTGTGGCAGTTTACTGATAATCTGTTTCTATACCTGAAGGATGACATTTGCTCACGTTTTTCCCCAAACACTGACATGTTGTTGACTTGTTCTCTAAATGCCAACATAATAAAGTAAGAGTCAATCCGCCAACAGGCTGAATCCTTTGCATCAAACGGATTCAAAGAAACGGCATCAACTAGATGCTTCTGCTGTGTTAAATAACCTGGCAGTTGTCAATAAGGATGGTCTCTTAGTGCCACAGAATCTGGAGTCTAATTATGTCTGTCAAAAGAAGGCATGAATGTCACCCATGGAAACACTTGTGACTTAAAAATAATTGCATACTTCTGTCTTTGCAGGGTGTACACCATAGAAATGGACTTATTTGTAAGACGCGAGATAAAGATGGCACGCAATGTGAGAAATGAATGTGGTAGCTAGGCAGAGTAGTAGGTGTGACATGGAATTATGGGAAATTACACTTACCGTGAGATTACATAAACCAATCACCTAGCTGGAATCCAGCTCCTTAAATTAAGAGAACCCATTTTACCCATCAGACAGAGCAGGGTAATGAAATAGCAGATGAGAGGTCTCAAATGTAATTTTCCATGTGGAGTTCTTTTGTGCCGTTATCTCAGAGGGTGCAATAATGATTCTGTGAATGACTTTTGTGCACCCCATAATGGCCCACACAAGCTAAGGCCACAATGTGCAAAACTGTAATTACCATGTGATTTCAAAGCTCAACATTTTTAACGTGTTGTAAAGACATATCCTGGCCTTTGCATAATTATAACAGCAATGTCAAAATTATTCCTTTTTATGTGTAACTAACTGTGAACACTGACAATAATAAATGTTGTTAAAATTCCTTTTTTTCCCCATCAGAAACAAATTAATTACCTTGAGAAATGCATGTTTTAAAATGCAGTCTTTTTCAGCAGGTCTTTTTTGGGGGCCTTGAAAAACAGTTCCATGGACAAATAAAACTATTTCAAAAATGATAGAAATTCTTTGAATTCATTTAGAGTCAAAGCAAAGTTGAGGCACGCAGACTTTGTTTAGTTAATTTAATTTCGGTTTAACTTGTACAGTAATTAAAAAGTGCAAAACTTTAAAAAATGTTTCACAAAAAGAAGGAATTGATTGTATGAAAGGTTTTTTAAAGGACTATAATGCGTCACCAAACTTTGCAAATACATCACAACGATGTATCTGCAGTTTTATGAACAAAATTGAAAAGTAAATATTAAATTTGAACAAAATAAAAATAAATGAGACTTGCATATTTGTTTGGTAGATATCAGATTTGCAGTCTTTGTTTTTGGCAATGGATGTTTGCTTATTTTATGCCTTTTTGAACATTTAGACTAAAGTGCAGTGACTGTCTGATTTCATCTCCCTCAAATCTCAGGCCTCRATCCAACTAAGCAACCATCAGGCCCTTGTAGGATCAATCTTCGTTTTAGATTGATTTACAGATTCTGTCAAAACAGTCCTCTTTACCTGCCTTAGCCTAAAAAACAGGTAACAACAACATGACCTGGACAA